AAAAAAAAGATTCCACCACCTCGAGCCATAGAGGATGACCTCGCCTGATCTCAGACCCCTTACCTGTCACAGGGGGCTCCAGGAGGGGCCAGTCTGGGACAGGGGTCTCCAAGGAGACTGCGCAGACACGCACACGCGCCCTCCGCTGTGGACTGCAGGTTATAACCCCCCTGAGCAACACAGAAGCAGGGTGGAAATGCTCAGGACCATCAGGAACGGGTGAGAGATTATAGGGGTGAACAGAAAAACAACATCTGTAACATCTGTAAACCCCCCCACAATCCCTAGACGCAAAAACACACCTGAACACCTTTGCATGACTACTTGCGTGCAAATTTTCAGGTCTCTTTTTGCACAAAAATGCAAACAAGAAAAGGACAAGGGTGCCAAAACTTGCCCCCAGGTGCTACATTCAAAATTCATCATTTGCAATTTTCACCACTGTTTAATGGCTGGAACAGCCGCCCCCCCCCCCGACGATGGCTCCCAGAGACAAGCCCCACAGTTTCTGGATTCCTGGGGGCCGGTCTGTGTTCTCTCTCACCTCCAGGGCCAGCAGCACCCTGCCCTGGGCCAGCCCCTGCAGCAGGTGAGTCAGCACGGAGAAGCACTGAGGGCTGGCTGCCATCCCGCCCTGAAACACAGAGCACCCGTCAGAGCACAGCGCTGCGGGGCACCGGGCGGCACCCTGCTACCTGGGCACGCAGCCGGAGAGCTGGAGCAGACCAGAACTGGGGAGCGTTGAGAGGGAACATTATAAAGTACCGAAGAGCTTCAGTCACGCAGGGATTTTGGAAGAGATACTCAAAGCAGAGATGTCAATAGACATGTTAACTTGCAGCTAAGCAAACTGTCGGCCCAGATATTCTTCCCAGTTGAACAGGACAAGCTAAGGAACAAATTAAGATGAGGCTTATCTCAGACTTCATGCTAGCAGCGCATCTGGTAAGCAGGTTTCAGAATTGCAAACCATCAACTGCTTTCACTCAGAACCTTTCTTAGGGGAACACAGAGCCCATTAAAAGCAGAGGAAAGCAGTTCTTTATTCTTCAGTTTGTCACAGGGAGTGTCGCTTACCTTGGGATCCCCGATCACAGCGTCGAACCCAGCTGCGACCAGCACAAGCTGTGGCTGGAACTGCACACAAAGCAAAGGGCTGTTAGGGACCGTCTGCAAAGTACTGCACAAACTTTAGTTAGAAAAAGAAAAACCCATGCAGAAGGACTTCAGAGACCACAGTCACTGTGTGGTTTGAGCCACACCAGGATGTTGGAGGTGCCGGTCTGGCCTTCCCCGTTCCTGCTTTCAAATAGTCTAGGTGTAAAGTCTGGTGATGCATTAATTCCATTCATTCTGAGTCAGCCAGGCAACTGGATCCTGTAGCCTGGAACCTGCTGGCCTGTTCTGCGGTACAAACCCTCATTTGATCCATCTATTTGTTTTCTAACCTCTTTATCTAATACAGAGTCGCAATCCCAGAAGACAACACGCACAAGGGCAGGGCACACCTTGGACAGGACGCCCGGTCCATCGCGGGGCGCACACACACACACAGACAGACACACACACTCGCACCAGGAGCCCATGAACCTCCTAGCATGTCTGGGGACTGCGGGAGGAAACCCACGCAAACACCGGTAGGATGCGCGATCTCCATGCCGACGGCAACCCGGCAAACGAACCCAGACCCCCCCGTGCTGTGAAGAAGCAACGCTATCCTCTGCGGCACCTTGCCACCCCCCCCATCTAACTCCTCCCCCGTCACGGGGGGGGAAAGGCATGCAGACGAAAGGGAGGCGCACTTACCTCGTAGGCCACAGGCAGCAGCAGCTGCTGGAAGGCGGCGATGTAATCGGCATCTTTCATCCCCACCTAGGGAGGAAAGGGCGAGAGGGGACTGTCACGAGAACACAGCTAACTTCTCTGCCAACCGGAGGGCACTGTATAAAATTCACCCCCGTGTCGCGGGCACTGGGGGCTACCGGCCCTGCCCACAAGTGCGGCGCTCACCTGGTTCCAGGGCACGTTGATGTTGTACCCTCGCCCCGCCCCCGTCCCCGCGGCAGTACCGCCCGAGTCCACCAGGTGGGGCCAGAAGCACCCGTCTTCATAGCGATGCACTGAGAAATACAGCACACTGTAGGGCAGGCACAGAAAAAAGAGGGGGGTTACAGAAGACACCCACAGAATGCTATCTGCTCCAGGGAGGCCCAAGAGGCCCGAGACCTACAACAACGACACAGACACAGCAATGACGCAGTCAGGTATGCTTACCGAATGGCTTAACTTCTCAATCTCCCCCATAGCACAGAGCTCCGGCCAAGCTCCACCATTCCTTAATCCTCTTATTAATGCCATGTGCAGCCCCTCACCTGAAACGGCTCACCTGGCCAGAATGACCCAGTACCCGACACTCCAGCCTCAAGCCCGTGAACCTTCCCCTCACCCCGGGATCCCAGTGCGTGCTCACAAACCTGGGATCCTCCTGGAATATGT